ATCTGCCATCTCTATCTTTCTGTCGCTTGGCTCGCTAATGTCCGTCCTGTGCACTAAACGCTCTCTCCTCCACATCATGAGTAGACACGCCCCTTACTGCTGATTGGCTACAAGTTTGTTTCGCTAGTCGGCCGAATCAGTTTTCTAAAGCGTTTTTGTGAAGCGTCATTATATAGCTCCTGATCGTGTCGGAGCCCCCACAATCCCAAATCGTAAACATCAAACATGTTTGATATTTACAACTCTTGATCGGGCTGCCTCTGACGTGATACCCATTATAGCCAATGAGAGCGATCAAGCATCACCTACCGGATGTTGCATGCTTAGTCGAACTTAGTCAGAGGGTGCAATGTTAACCTATACCTTTCAGGAGGCTGCCTGCTTGCTCAGAACAAAAAGTGTAGTTAGGTCACTTCAATACAACTTGCTAAGTCGACGATAGACAGAATTCAAAAGATCTCCGATGGCGTGCCTGCTGCTCTGCTCAGTCATGAGCCTTAAGCCTTTCTGTCCTATCCTGGACACAGATTTGAGGTAACATCAGCTAATGATCTACTTGTCACAATCTTTCTCATAGTGTAAGTGACTGCTGTGAAATTAAGACAATTTTACCAATCACACTGAGACCTTTAGAATGATACCAGACATGAAGTGGAAAAACAACAGATTGACAAGATATGTGATATATATACGTAGATGGTGAACTTTCAGTGAAGCCTGGTAGGAGAGAAGAGTGGAGTGGGGGTCATAAATAAGAAAGTAGAGACGTTTGGGCAAGGTGGTGTCATTTGCTCTTTCTTTGAGATCTTCTCTCCAGATTAGTGAGTTTTTTATGGTTTTGCTGCATGGCATCTGTTTTGTCCGAGTTCCTGAACTTCAGTTTCATAGGAAGATCATTTCGGGTCTTACAACTTTTCCCTTGAAATGTTATGTTTAAATATGCAGATAGCTTGTTTTGGTTAATTTAGAAGAAAACTACTGAAGCAAACAGACGAGGGTAGTAGGCTTAAAACAAACACCTTAATGCGTATTTTGGAAATTTCCTTTCTATTAGAGCAAAAGAAGACACGGAAGCAAAATAGACCAAAATCTCAAAATTGAACAGTACATGAAGTGTCCTGCCTTAAACATAAACTTCATAATTTTGATCTGCAGGCTCCTCATCTAATAACTATCCATTCTATTAGTATGTTGTATGCTGATATATCTTAACAGCCCTCCCTCAAATGTGAAACAAAGTTCTTGTCACCATCAGTTTGAGTGTGTGTGTGTTTAGGTGTGTGTGCATGTACAGTAAGTGTAATTATAACAACATTGTGAACTGAGTATTTGGTAGACATCTGTTGAAAAATGAAACAACATGAAACAATTGGGTGAGTGTGAGGGAATTAAAATAAATAGGTAAGTAACTTAGAGCTGTTAATATATTTAACGTTTTGTTTAGAAAAATATGTAAATAAATATGAGAAGTGCCCTTTTTTCCACTTGAGCCCCTGCCCCTCAAAATCTCTGTGCACGTCCCTGTCTACATTAATAACACATTTTTATTCACTGCAGGGCAGAAGACTCCAGCCCAGGAAGACGATGCCAGCTCATGTCCATTTCAGGAAAGAAAATCGGATTCATGCTGAACGTCACATGCAGAAACCAGAAAACAGGTTCATTGCATCCCGTTTAGGTCTTCTGTGTGCACTCGTTACATATAGAGCTGTTTTACTTAAAATGCCTTCAAGAAAAGATACCAAAGATTAGCTTAATTGATGTCTGTAATCAGGGCTGGACTGGGACAAAAAATCGGCCCTGGCATTTTGTGGTCCAGGCGGCCCATCACCACTTCGATATACACTATACCAGTCAAAAGTTTTTGAACAGTAAGATTTTTAATGTTTTTTTAAAGAATTCTCTTCTGCTCACCAAGCCTGCATTTATTTGATCCAAAATACAGCAAAAGCAGTAATATAGTGAAATATTTTTACTATTTAAAATAAC